ATACTTGTGAGACGGTCAGTGAAAGTGATCAGCGTGTAGCCCACCCATCATCAGATGCTAGTGCTAAACCCGAACTAGTAGTGAAAGACAGCAGTGGTGGTAATCTTGCAGGTAGACAAATTTCTGAAAGTCGAGCAACAACAGCTTCTGATCCACCGCTAAGTTCATCAACTTGTGTCACACAGTCGTCGTTGGTGTTGTCATTCACAATGAAAGGGACGTCCATGAACTCAAGTGTCTTATGCTCTGACTATGCTAGTATCAGTCCGTTTGAAGGGACGAAAGATATTGTTCAGTTTAGTGGTGATAAGCCAAATGTGTGCTAGGGGGTAACTGTTGAACTGACTTGCACGAATGAAGGCCTTTCAAGTTTCAAATTACTATTTGAATGTTATTATCTTTGGTGTGAATTACTCTGTGTCTACGCCTGGTTGACCAGATACTTCGTGTGTTTGTTCGTCATCTATGTTCTACGATACAATGACATGAGCGTGTTACCGTTCAGATTTGAGGATATAGCTGATAGAGGGAAGTCAGCAAATGAACTCTGCAACGATTTTCCAACCTAGGGCGTCAACCTGAGAAGGGTTGTAGGCGTACTGCCGTAAGTCCTACAATTCTTCAAAGGGTAGCGTATCAGTGAGCAGTTTAATGTGCTTTGAGCGTGATTTTGTACATATGTTCATATTGTATAAACTGAATTAATATCATTTGTCATCTAGCTGTTGGTAATTCTGTTTGTGTCCGGACAACATCCACTTGGATCATCAACTTCAGAAGGAAGGTAGGCGTACTACTCTAAGTCCTACAATTCTTGAAGTTTAGGTTGTCAAGGCATAGTCCACAACATTTGATGTGTTGATTGTACATATGTTTGTGTTAAATAATTGTGTGAGTTTCAATTATTGTAATTGTTGGTTAATTTTTTGTTTTATTTATTTTTTTATTTTTGATTACAGCTTGAATCCACACTGTATTTTTGGGTACAAGTATGGAATTTTCAGCATGGATATCGGTAGCCCAAATTTTGCAGGCCGACCATAGATATCGGGTGTGCGTCGGCGAAGGCTCGAACCCCGGACAATGTGCATGATCGGCGAGAATCCTAACCACTGTGTCCGGACATTCTACAACTTTCAATCGTCAACCTGAGAAGGGTTGTAGGCGTACTGGTGTAAGTCCTGCGATTCTTCAAAGGAATTCCATCAAGACACGATCTGCGAGTTTGTGTGTACTGTTTGTATATATGTATGGTGTGTCATATCAATTGGTGTTTTTGGATTCATTGTGTTTACTCGTTGTTTTCGTACCTTGTTGTTATTACATAATTTTGTTAAAATTTTCGTCGTGATTACTTCTGAAGTTGTTTCCAGTCTTCTACATCCGTGAATGAATTGATTGATGTTAGAGACAGCAGATGGGTCGTATACGCCGGGGAGGCTATTGCTGAGAATGAAATGCATACGGAGATAATTGTTAGGTGCGGTCCCACACGCCAGGGAGAAAGAGTGTAAACGACTGAGGCTCGCATACGTCACCCTTACTAGAACTGAGGCAGAATGAGTGACAAGCGATTGCAGTGGTAATTGGTAGTGGGTAGATAAGAGGATGTGCGTAGAGTATCGTGAGGTGGTGCTATGGTCACGTTGCATTCTGCAAGAGTCATTCTAGCAAGTGGCGATTGTGTTGCAAGATGTCAAGAGGAGGCATTTATCTGGAGGCGCAGGTCGTCATTGATGTGTGAGATAGTGCTGTGAGTATGCTTGTGGTGTGTTGGCTTTTCTGTTTGTTTTTCATTTCAGCTCTGTCCGTGTGACCCAGGTTCTCGCAATGGCATCCAAGTCAACGTGTATTGGTCGTGATGGGAAAAAGGGATGGATCGGTATTTTGACGGGGAGTGTCAATGTAGTTGAAGATTGAACGATCAATTCATGGTTGTTTGCTCAAAACCAACTTCCCCAATTTTCGCGGAGGCATCAATACGACAGTCATCGTCTCATCTGTCGCTGTTCAGAAGGAAGACAGGATACTATCAGAAGTATTATCGTGATGTATTTTTATGTCATTTGTTCTCAGACCTTGTGTATATTAACCTTAATGTTGGTTACATATTGGCGTAGGAATAAAGTATTCCTGAGTAGCCAATCTGTGTTCTGATTTTTGGCGTTGCTTATTACAAATTGGTCCTGAAAGTCTTCCAGGTACAGCATGAGTTCCAGCGTAGCAAGAGCTAGACATTGACAGTTTCTGGGAGTTGGCTGACAGGTATTTTGCCGTTTGATGCCCTGTATCCATTATAATCACTGTCTGGTACATTGTAGCGACACTCGAAATGGTGTAAAACAGTGGAGTATTTTTCAGTACTGAATATTTCTGGGACCCGTTCTTAGGTATAAGCATTCAGTAGTTGTTACAATACGGCGGTTAATTTTTATTCAGACTGAGTCGCATCATCCGTTGTAGCTCTAGACACAGCTCAAGTCTTCTCATCATAGTTGTGCCTTAAATCGATAAACTGAGTTCTGTTATCGTCATTTTCGTCTCACAGATTTTCCTAGTTGTGTTCCTAAGAAAATTCTCAACGGTGGTGTTCAACGTAAAGCATTGTGACAAGACTGTAAGAGTGTATACGTGTGCCCCTGCAAATCCAGGATGAAGTGAGTAAATTGTGTAACACGCTACAACTACCCTTCGATAAAAAAGTCCCGAGGAGTGAAAACTGAAAGTTAAAGTTCACCAAAATAGAGTAATGCTACAGGCCAAAGCAGGCTAAAACCAAAGACATGAATACTGGAAAACCGCGTTTAACACACTTTGGTGAAAAATGAAACTTTTGTCCCTTCTGATATCTAACTACAGTACGAAAACGCGATCGAAGAGTGGCTGTTTAAATGATTCTGATGGGTTCGAATTTGTCATAATCCGTTAAGAAATTTATGAGTCTTATGAGCAGGTTACATTTCAAAGTCATTTCTACTGGCGCCTTCTAGCATGCTGGAATCAAACATGATCTTCAGTCAGGAAATTTCATAAGAATACTACACGGATTTCTGCCTTGACATTTGAAATATGTCATGTCTTTGTTTGAAAATTACGGCGAATAAAGCTAAATTGATGAACTTGGATTGGTCATTATGAATGCAGCACAAAATACCTGGTTATTACTCACAAATGGTGGTGGTTGTACCATACTTGTGACAGTTAAAAAAGAATGATGAGAACTAACAATAATAGAAAAGAACTATTGTCACTTGTTTTGTGTTGCATGGTGACTGGTGGCTTTTGACAGATTCTAAATGAATTCCTGAGTGCTGAATCTGTGACACAATGTAGAGGTCCAGGAAATAACTGGTATCAGCTCTAAAAGGTCACTGTTAATGTAGGATTGTGCCGAAGGAAGCTAGATGGCATTCGATTATGAGCAGCCAGAACTAGCAGAAGACCATATTACATGTATAATGCTAGTGCGTCAGGAGTCGAATAATTTCCACTCATGCTCACACATATTGTATAAAATTTAAAAATCTGACCTTAGACATTTTGGTTTATTACGCCTTTTTAGGGGAATATCTGGCCTAAATTGATTGAAGTTCAACCTCAGGTGTGAATACAGCACAACTGATACACTACTCACCCGTCCATCCGTATAAACTATTTGTGACAAGTTTATTATAACTATTCATTGGGTATAAACAAATTTTTCAGTGGAGATAAATTATCTGCAGACTCACTGATTCTATGAACTTCCTCCACATAGGTTTGCTGTATTTCAGCAAAGGAAATGGTGAGCATCCATATGATAAATAATAACAATTATAATCTGTCCTGTCCCAAAAACAGTGCTTATTATTCAAAATGGGCTACGGAAAAACAGCTCAAATAACCATGCTAGGTATCAAACGTCATGCTGTGTGGGATGCCAGTGGCGAATGTCATGACGGTGAAATGTCCTAATACTGTCATAGTTACTTAGGAATGTTTCGGATATACTTTCGTTGGGTTTGCAAGTGCTAGGGGGTAACAGAGTGATATCAAATACCTAGGTTGACGTTATGTGAATTTGCAGATAGTCTTGCCAAAGTTTTCCGCCTGTAACTCCATCTGCTCTGACAAAGAGGCGTCTTCAGACAAATTCCAAATTGTATCTTAATGATGACTGCAAAGCGGTGATCCTTGTCACAATTTTTTGAAACAGTTTCCCGAGAGGAAGATTGGTGGGGGTTAGGTGAGGTAATTTTCCAGCTTGTGCATATATACCGTCTTTAGAAGCCTTCATATTTAATGAAAAAATCAAGTGGTTTAGGTAATTTAGTGCAGCAGTTGGGAGTTATCGCCAGGGTTGGATGTTGCCGGCAGATGTAGCTATGGCACCGTCTTTGGACGCCTTTAAGCGAAGGCTGGACAACCATTCAGCGATACAAGGACTGCATCCAAATGGCCTATCTCCTTAAAATCGCATTTACCAATCAGGGAAGATAATTAAACTCGTCATTTTACTTCTTTACATTCTCTCCCGTCTTATTCTTCTGACAACTTATTAATATTATAATTATTATTATTATTATTACTATTACCGATATATATATTATTCTTCAAACTTAATGAGCTGACTGTTGTTACGTTTCCTATTTTCGTTTCTGTCTCTTAGTCTGAATAGCTTCACTAATTATATCTATTATTATTATTATTACTATTATTATTATTACTATCTCTTTTCTCTTGTCGACAATAACGAAGGACTAACTGGCGAAAGGATCAACTCCAATCACAGTAGTAACAGTCTTAACATACCTCATACTACAAACCACATATAATTAATCCCAGCACTACTCCCTTTGGAGTCAACCAAAGCTACGACAGTCGAGTGGCGGGACAAGCTACGCAGAAGTTTACCGAAGATCAAGAACCTATACCTCACAATCAAGAAGCGAGCACAAAGAAATCAAATTGGTTTATACTAGCTCGTAAAAACGATATTGGATATTGAATTGATCCCCGTATTTTGGAATTTCTCCGTTACAGGTAGGTCGTCGTAAATTCCTTGCGTAACGCGACTAGTGTTTGGTCCGGCTAGGATTTTATTATGTATGGTCTCAAGAGTTAATTATTCTCATTTATGCAAGCGCATAACGAAAACGGGGATAGGTAAGCTGAAGACTGCCAGCTAATATACAGAGACATACACATAATTAGCACTAACATGGTGTCAAAAGATGACACAGGAGACAACTCATTGCATTAATAGGCAGTTTTTGAGATCCCAACTCTTTGTTTTTTAGCTAACGTATGTTTTTTTATTCACCATCTTGCCGTCTAGCACCCAAATAAAGGTTTTTGATGCGATTTTGCGAAGGTAATCAGGGGTATCGGGGAGGTTCAGACTAAAAAGAAGGTGTTCCCCCAAAATTTCATCAAAATCTTACTTTCAGTTGCCTCCAAATGTTCTGTTTAGGGTGCCTTGTATGACTGTTGGCCCCTACTTTCTAACAAATCTGCACCACACTTGGTTTCCTTGGTTTCTTTAAATCTATTTTGATCCTACAGTTGTTTGCGCTTAACGCCAACATGTTCTCCTGTTACTTAATGCTTGCTCAGACAAATCGAACTGCTATATGTAACACGTTGCCTTTGTTCTTCTAAATCATCATACACCAATCGGTGTTTAAACACTGCAGGTTTGTTTTTCGCAATCTGTAGGAATACGACTAACATTTGAAGTCACTTATTTTATGAACTGCACCTTTAAGTGTTTTACGTATTTCTGTTTGCAGAACTGTTCTAGCGCTTAGAAATAAATAGGATGGACTTTCAAAAACCCTTGGCTGGAGTTACGTCAATGTCAATTGTTCCTTTGCCCGGTAAGAAACCTGGAAAGGATGCTCCTGGTATGGCAATCACTTCTTTTAGTAGTGGTGTATTCAAGTCAAGTTCACAAATTATACCCGCTGGACAGCAAGGGAGCGTTCCTAGAACATCGAACTTAATGTCACCTAATATGCTTCTAAATGGTCACGAAGGTGAGGTCTATTGTGGAAAGTTCTCTTCCGATGGATCATTCCTTGCAAGCGCTGGGTTCGATCGCCGTATACAGTTATGGGAAACGTACGGCGAATGCGAAAACATTTCTACTATGATGGGTAAGTTTTGTTCATTTATTGTAGAACATGATTTAAGCAAATACGTATTTTCGGTAAATTCTCACCAGGCTTTACATGTACATAATGAAGTATCAGACTGCTCCAGGAGGTTAGATAAATGAGTCTTAAAGTCAATCAGAATTTCCATTTTGGTTCACCTAGTGGATATGGAGCACAAGATTGACACAAATCCAGCTTTTACATTTCTACACGGAGGGGTACCTCAACTCCCTAGGTTGGTATATCTTCGGTCGTTAAGCATAGCTGAGGCAGTTGCCATAATAATAATAAAAATAATAACAATAGCCATTTTATTCCAAAGAATAATAGTTATGTAGGATGAAATTTTGAACCCAATCTTTGTGTTCAGAAAAGGTTTTTTTAGTCGCTGTCCGTTGGCCTTCGCCCCCAACCTAAAGTAGTTATCCCTCCCAGTGACATCGGATAACTGTAAATACTATTTTATTTTATTTGTATTGTTAATTGTATTACTGATATCATGCTGTGCTGTAGTTGTATATTTTATTCTCGGTTTCACAATTTACTATTATATTATCTAACCGCTGTGAGTTATTTTCCCCTCTACCTATACACTTGCCGTTGCCTAGATTTTATAAACACCTGAATGAATTTATCCTTGTTGTTATTATTATTGGTATCATCACCTCGATTTTTATCCGTCAGTTCTCACCTCTGATCTTTTACTTTACTAGCCACAATAATTCAAATGCCTATGACTAATATTTCATTATGTAAATGTAAAGCCTGGTGAGAATTTACCGAAAATATGTATTTACTTATTATTTACGCGCTATTTCCATGTATTTTGTAGAGACATAATCAATCAGTTAAGATCTTTACAGTTCAGGAAAAGGAGTCATGAGCGTATTTGTACATTTGGAATAGGAATTTCGTCTTATCACTACGTGTTTATCCATCTTTTCCTTGTACCGTAAACTTTAATCAGGGAATTGTCAATTTCCTACACCGATATGCGCTTACCCACAATATTTGTATGTGGTGTGATTTTTTTTGGACTTCATATATTTCACTTCTATATCAGCATCCGAAGATGATGAAAGGTACTGAATAGGTCTATTAACAGCATCAAAGACTGATATATTTCCTTTAGTATTTAAGCAGTGTGTATAGAAATCGACTTAACTGTGATGAAATGATCCATTTGGTATTGAAAGATTGATTATAAAAATTAGCGGATTTTGTTTTCAATTATGTTGTGTATTATGTACTCCACAACTATATCGAAACTCTGAGTCCCTATTTAAGGAGAAAATAGCAGTACTTCCCCTGAGGTGGCTTGGCACAACATTTAGTTAGCTGTAGACACAGCTGTAAAAGCTGTTAATTATCTAAAACCAAACCAGTGGATTTCTATCACCTCATCCAAACTGATTGGCGCAAGAATACTAAATATGATTATGAGCGAAAGCTACTCAAATGCAAACTAACAAGAAGCCTACGAAACGACTGCGCACAGCGGTGGGTGACAAGAGCGAAAGAGATGGATCAGGCATCGGCATTAGGTAATACAAGACAACTATTTAGACTTATGAGGGAAAGAAGTGGCAAAAGGCAAACGATAAGTGAAACAATATCTGAGAAAAATAGCATCATAATTAGCTCTCAGGATAGACGACTAGAACTTTGGAAAGAACACTTTGATGAGCAGTTAAATCGGCCTACAGCTACACTCAACTTATCGAACATCCAACACTTCCCTAAATGGGATATAGACACAGGTCCACCGTCCCTAAGTGCGGTTACTAAGGCTGTCACTAGTCTGAAACGAAGCAAAGCTATGGGATGCGATGAAATCACTCTAGAGGTGTTTCAGGATGCCTGAGAGTTTACTGTCTACTTTAACTAAGGTATTAGGAAGCGTTTAGGAATCAGAGGAAATCCCGTCTGGTTGGTGTAAGCCATTAATTATCCCGATATACAAGAAGGGAAACAAGTCTTCCTGTGATAATCACAGGGGGATTAGTTTGACTAATATGGTATCTAAACTTCTAGGCTCAATAGTCATGCGCAGACTAAGAGATGCTCAGGAGACACAAACACGAGAGAAGCAGGTAGGGTTTAGATCAGGAAGAGTGTGTATTGATCATACCCTCACTCTTCGACAGATTCTAGAACATAGGCACACACACCGGCTTCCAACAGTCGTTATATTTCTTGAGGTGAAAGCGGGGTTCGATACTGTCGACCAAGAGGTACTCTGGCGATGTTTGGTTGTGATGGGAATGTCGATGAAATACATTTCACTGATCAAGTCACTCTACTCTATTTGAACTGATGCAGTCAACCAGGTGGGAGCTTACGCGGAGTTGTCATGTGAAGTGGTGACAACTAGTGGTCAGGGATGCCCATTATCCCCATTTCTATTCAATTTTATCATAGATGCACTCGTGAACTTAACCCTTACTCACTTCAGAGACTCAGGGATTGACTTGTTACGATCAGGGAATAATCTGGTTGACTTAGAATATGTAGATGATATAGTCCTGCTTCTTCTAGGTGAAGACGCTGACGAAATGCATTCTTGCGAACACCTTGAGCTGCCATCTACGAATGTCTGGGATGCGATTCGCTCCTGCTGTCAAATGTAAGATGATGTTTCAGGACCAGACTACACTGACTCGTAGCTTTGAAATAGGGAGTGAAATGGTTGATGGAGTGTGTTGACCACTTCACTCATATGGGAAGTTGCATCAGCCCCAATGGGATGATCGCTGACGAAATCTCAGAAGGGATACAGAAGGCTCGTTTGGCATATGCCTGCCAGTTAACACCATCTCTGGCGTAGACATGATGTCGGGCTATTGACCAAAGGGCATGTGTACTGCTCATCAGTCCACTCCGTCCTTCTTCACGTCTGTGAGGCCTGGTCATTGAAAGTGGAAGATATGAAGAAGCTGGCTAGCTGCATTTGATCATAGCGCCTGCGTTCTATCTCACGTGTAAAGTGGTATGATATTGAGGTTAGGTGTCGTGTGCTAGGTAAGGAGGGAAATCAATCGACGAGGCTGTGAAGCTACATCGAATGAGATGGTTAGGACATGTGTTACGCATACCTAGTCATCGCCGTCCTCGATGGGGAATGTTAGCTGACATAGGGTCAAGTTGGAAAAGAGTTAGCTAGTGGTGGTCAAACCAAAATGTGGCGTCATCAGTCAATGCAATCCACAACAGTTAGTTTAAGCCAGTTACGTAGGAAGGTGTAGACTTCGTGGTTGGGGTCCTCGGAATGGTAAAGACCAATGACTGGCGACAACTGGTGATATGGCTGAAAATAGTTCTCAGTGTCTGGGGCATATGCATCCACTCCTTGTGACTTATAATATCCAGTGAAACTATATTGTTCTTCATTATTACTTTTCTTTTTGTCTTCCATGTCTGTTTACTGTCTCTATTTTGCATTCCTTTTTACTTTCTTCTCTTTCTGTTGTGTGCTGCATGGTGTGTGGCGACTTGAGCTGCTGCACATTGGTGCAAAGTTATATGTTGAAACAAGTCAGTCAGTCAAACGATGTAGGCATAGTTCTCGGTTTAGAGTAAATTAACTTTCTATCTGTACACTGGTATTAAGAACATTTTTATTAGTGTTAGTTGGATGAATCTTCATAATATACATTGGTGGTACATATACAAGTCTTCCAAGTTGATATTCTGAGATGAAAATTACATATTGCATGACTTTCCGTCTTCCTTGTATCAGTTCTGATAGTTTTTTTTCTACAGCGTACTTACAGATGTCAACCACAAACTGTGTGTGGTGGATTTCTTGTGTAAAGAATCTACTGATGGCTTAATGGTAACCGTAGTAAATGATTTTATAAGTATTACCGTTATTTCGATATATTTAGTGATATAAATGAATTTTATTTAAGTATTTATTTTAATTAGTATCATTTATAGACAACATAGTCCATTAAGTATATGTCATTTTTCTTTCAGGACATGGAGGTGCTATTTTGGATTTAGTGTTTTCATCAGATGACTCGGTTATTTATACTGCTAGTTCAGACAAATCTGTCGCTCTATGGGATACTGAAAGTTCTCAACGCATTAAAAAGTTCAGAGGCCATGAAAACATTGTAAATTCATGTGCGGTTGCTAGACGTGGTCCCCAGCATGTGTGTTCTGGTTCAGATGACGGAACAGTTCGACTTTGGGATAGACGACAAAAAGCTTGTGTACAAAAATTCGAAAATACGTATCAGGTTAGCTGACTTTAAGGGATTAGATCGTATATATTATGTCGTAATTTAAATTTTTCTCGTTAGTTTCTAATAGCTTACATAATGCATTATTTCACTAAGATGAATGCTTTCTTTTATAATCCATTCTTTTATGGAAATGCAGTCCTAATATTCTTTTCCTTAGCATGCTGTTATAGTTCATGTGAATGTTTTTGGTGTTTTTTCATTTTATATGAGCCGGATAGCTTGGTCATTACATTACTTCCAGCCTGTTTAAGAGGATTAGTTGCTAGTCAAGTCTCAACGTTATTTAATTCACCCTTTATTTTAAATGTTTGGCATGTTCGTTAACGACAAATTATTGGACATTTATATGTTTGTTAGACGTTATTTTTGTTGTGTGGTGTTTTTTTATGGCTCCCTTGTGGTCAGAAATGATATGTACTTATTTCGCGAAGGTATGTCAGATTTAATGTATATATTTTAAAAAAAAATGTGAAATAGGAATACTTATAAAACCAGACGACTTAAAGTCATTTTCTCTTGTTTATGGCTTGTTTCGCCTTAAGATCACCACAGTACTTGTGAATCGTCCACCTCAGTAAGTCATACTGGTTATAGATATGATGTAGAGGATTTATAGCTCAGGTGGATGATTTTGATGTAACTGTGTTCTCTGAGCTGGAGGGTTTATTTGAGAAGCTTTCATTGCCCTACTAGGCAACATCTTAAGCTCATACTTCAAATTGAAGTATGTTGCCTAGTAGGGAAATGGAAGCTCAAATAAACCATCCAGTTCAGAGAACACAACTGTATCAAAGTACTAGTTATACTTCGTGCCACTAAGTGGCGCTTGTTTTTGTGCACTTCTGTCTTGTCATACCGGGTCGATATATTTCTGCCGATGTGAAGAGATATTACCAATCACTGTGGTATGTATTCGTGAGTCCTCCATTCTTTTACTAGCGAAAGGAAACATTTTACCACAAACAAATGCAATATGTTGTATTTGTCAGAGTCCATACACCTAATATTTGTGATCGCTTTAACTCTATTATCTTTTTTAATTAGGTTCTGTCCGTTACTTTCAATGACACTGCAGATGTGATATTTCTTGGCGGTATTGATAATATTGTCAAAGGCTGGGACTTACGCAAGTTAGAAGCCAGTATGTTACTCAGTGGTCATACAGATACAGTTACTGGTTTGTCCGTCAGTTCAGATGGTTCGTTTCTGCTTTCTAATGCAATGGATAACACATTACGTATGTGGGATATCCGTCCATTTGCTCCAGCAGATCGTTGTACGAAGGTTAGTTGCACAGTTGTATTACTAATACTTACTACTTCTATATACTGTAGCAGTATAAATGTAAAACCTGAACACTGTGGTAGAACGCATTTCTGTTATTTTGATGTCCCACATATTTATATAATTTTATTTGCTGAATATAGTATCATTGCGTACGACATCCAATAAACACATTGAGATGCAGTTGTAGTAATCTATGATCTCAGTTAAAGGAATGAATATAACCTCAAAATCTAGCTAATCGTTAATTCTCTGTCAACAAAATCACAGTTTTAGAGTTTAAATTGACTTCCGGTGTTTGGCAATAAAATACTGCAAAGTTTCATCGATAGTAGTCTGTCTGTCTGTTTTCGACGTAGAACTTTGCACCGATGTGCAGCAGCTCAAGTCGCCACACACCATGCAGCGCACATTCATGGCATTCCATGAATGTCACGGAAAAAATTTATTATAATTATTCCCTCAAGTTCCGAGTGTAACTTCCGGCTTCAACAGTGCGTCTCAGTTTCACCCTGTTTCTTACAGTCCTTTTTGCCTAACTCCACGATTGCCCTTAAGCTCCCATCTTCCCACATGATCTCTGCCATGTCATTCTTGGACGACCGATTCTCTGTTTCTCATTCGGGTTCAACTCGAGGTCCTGGCGCGCAGTACTATTCAATAATCTCCTCAGCGTGTCCAGTATATCTCCGTTTTCTTCGGATTATGTGTTGGGCAATAGGTCCTCAGCTGGTTCGTTTCCAGAGTTCCTTGTCGCTACACCTTTCCAGAGAGCTATACGGTCTTCACTATCTAATCAATGAAGACAGCTATTGATGAAAGTCTGAAGCTTTTTATAAGTGTTTCTCGTGCCTTACCAAGTTTCTGAACCATATAGAAGAACTGACGACGGTGATGTTGAAAATACCCATCTTGTTCCTTATGCTAAATGCAGTAGGCTGCCTCACTGACTTTAGAGCAATAAACGTTTATCTTACTTTTCCGACCCTACCTTTTATATCCTCATCTGTGCCGTCTGTAGTTGAAACGGTGATGCCTAGTTAAGTGAAAGAGGTGACCTTTAGATTTCTCCAGTTGATAATGATTGGTGTGTGTTGTTGGTTGGTTATCTTCGTCACCTCTGCATTCCTTGTGTTCAGTTGAAGTTTTGTCTTTGCTACTTCTTCTACCAATTTGTTGATTTTCACTTGTAGTTCTTTGAGTTTTCTTGGCATTAAACATAAATCATCCGTTAGATTCCGGTTTTCTAAAGTCTTCTTGTCGGCACAATGTATTCCTATCTTCTCACTTCTCATAAGCCTGTAGCATAATCCAGTCGATCACAAACAAGAATAGCATCGGTGATAGTAAGCACCTTTGTTTTACTTCTCCCTTCACTTCAGAGGCTGTACTAAGTTTTCCGCTGTAAATCACTTGACATGTGGCATCATTATATTGTTCTTGGGTAATTGGATGATGATTATTGTAGCTTTCCAAGTTCTTGAAGACGATAAGAAGTATGTGTGTAACTTGTTATCTCCATTATTTGGCTTTAATGTAGTAAGTTCGTGGAAGACATGAAAAGACTAGCTGTCTTTGATCATAGGTGCCTGCGCTCTATTTCCCGTGTAAAGTGGCATAATAAGGTGAGCAACATTGAAGTTAGGCGTTGAGGTCTAGATAAACAGGGGAAATCAGTCGACGAAGTCGTGAAGTTACAAAGACTGAGATGGTTAGGACATGTGTTACGCATGCCAAGCCATCGCCTCCCTCGACGAGCAATGTTAGCGGATATAGGGTCAGGCTGGAAAAAAGCTAGCGGCGGTCAAACAAAAACTTGGCACCAGTCAATGAAATCCACAACAGTTGGTCTAAGCTACGTAGGAAGGTGTAGACTTCCAGGCTGGGGTCCTCGGGACGGTAAAAATCTATGGTTGGAAACAATTGGTGACATGGCTCAAAATCGTTCTCAGTGGCGCAGATGCATCCACTCCTCGTGACTTATGATTTCAAATGAAACTGTTTTGTTTTTCATTATTACTCTTCATTGTCTCACACCTCTGCTCACTGTTTCTATTATGCTTTTCTTGTACTTTCTTCTCTTGCTTCGCGTGCTACACGGAGTGTGGCGACTTGAACTTCCGCACATTTGTGCAAAGTTCTGTGTCGAAGACAGACAGACAGACAGACATGCAGCGCACAACAGAAAGAGAAGAAAGTAAAAAGGAATGCAAAATAGAGACAGTAAACAGACATGGAAGACAAAAAGAAAAGTAATAATGAAGAACAATATAGTTTCACTGGATATTATAAGTCACAAGGAGTGGATGCATATGCCCCAGACACTGAGAACTATTTTCAGCCATATCACCAGTTGTCGCCAGTCATTGGTCTTTACCATTCCGAGGACCCCAACCACGAAGTCTACACCTTCCTACGTAACTGGCTTAAACTAACTGTTGTGGATTGCATTGACTGATGACGCCACATTTTGGTTTGACCACCACTAGCTAACTCTTTTCCAACTTGACCCTATGTCAGCTAACATTCCCCATCGAGGACGGCGATGACTAGGTATGCGTAACACATGTCCTAACCATCTCATTCGATGTAGCTTCACAGCCTCGTCGATTGATTTCCCCTCCTTACCTAGCACACGACACCTAACCTCAATATCATACCACTTTACACGTGAGATAGAACGCAGGCGCTATGATCAAATGCAGCTAGCCAGCTTCTTCATATCTTCCACTTTCAATGACCAGGCCTCACAGACGTGAAGAAGGACGGAGTGGACTGATGAGCAGTACACATGCCCTTTGGTCAATAGCCCGACATCATGTCTACGCCAGAGATGGTGTTAACTGGCAGGCATATGCCAAACGAGCCTTCTGTATCCCTTCTGAGATTTCGTCAGCGATCATCCCATTGGGGCTGATGCAACTTCCCATATGAGTGAAGTGGTCAACACACTCCATCAACCATTTCACTCCCTATTTCAAAGCTACGAGTCAGTGTAGTCTGGTCCTGAAACATCATCTTACATTTGACAGCAGGAGCGAATCGCATCCCAGACATTCGTAGATGGCAGCTCAAGGTGTTCGCAAGAATGCATTTCGTCAGCGTCTTCACCTAGAAGAAGCAGGACTATATCATCTACATATTCTAAGTCAACCAGATTATTCCCTGATCGTAACAAGTCAATCCCTGAGTCTCTGAAGTGAGTAAGGGTTAAGTTCACGAGTGCATCTATGATAAAATTGAATAGAAATGGGGATAATGGGCATCCCTGACCACTAGTTGTCACCACTTGACGTGACAATTACGCGTAAGCTCTTACCTGGTTGACTGCATCAGTTCAAATAGAGTAGAGTGACTTGATCAGTGAAATGTATTTTCTCGACATTCCCAAAGGCAAAAGAGATGGAAAAAGCATCGGCGATAGGCAACACTAGGCAACTCTTTAGACTCATCAGGGAAACGGGTGGAGAAGGCAAATCATAAGTGAGACTATTTCTGAGAAAAATGGCTCCTTAATTAGCTCTCAGGATAGACGCCTTGAACGCTGGAAAGAACACTTTGAGGACAATTTAACTTGCCTACAGCCACACTGAACCTCCCCGACATCACACACACCCGAATGGGATATAGACACTGGTCCGCCGTCTGTAAGTGAGGTCACAAAAGCTATCAGTAATTTGAAACGAGGCAAAGCGGCAGGACCCGACGGAATTATTCCGGAGGTGTTTAAATATGGGGGTGACATACTAGTTTGTAGATTAACTGAGGTACTAGGCAAAGTCTGGGAATCAGAGACAGTGCCATCAGACTGGGGTAAGTCACTTATTATACCGATATTCAAGAAGGGAAACAAGTCCTCGTGTGATAATCATAGGGGGATCAGCCTAACGAACATAGTCTCTAAAATCCTAGGCTCAGTAATCATGCATAGACTAAGCAGAACTCGGGAGGAACAGACAAGGGAAAATCAAGCAGGCTTTAGACCAGGTAGAGGGTGCATAGATCATATCTTCACTCTTCGACAGATTCTAGAACATAGACACACTTTTCGGCGTCCAACAATTGTCATATTTCTTGACTTGAAGGCGGCCTTCGACTCCGTGGATCGAAAGGTACTATGGCAATGTCTGACTGTGAAGGGAGTGCCAAGAAAGTACATTGCACTAATCAAGGCACTCTATTCAAACTCACGTAGTCGTGTAAGGGCTTATGGGGAATTGTCATCTGAATTGGTAACAACCAGTGGTGTCCGACAGGGATGTCCACTTTCCCCATTTCTGTTTAACTTCATCATAGATATGCTAATGGAAGTATCCTTAACTGAACGTAATGACTTAGGAATCGACTTGTTACCAGGGAATAGTCTTATGGACTTAGAATATGCAGATGACATAGTCCTGTTAGGGGAGGATGCTGACAAAATGCAGAGTCTTCTGAACACCTTGAGCAGCAATCTTCGTATGTTTGGCATGCGATTCGCCCCTACAAAATGTAAGATGCTGCTACAGGACTGGACCACGTCAACTCCTAACTTAGTGATAGGGAGTGAAGTGATAGAACATGTTGACCACTTCACCTATTTGGGAAGTTGTATTAGCACCAACGGACTGATTGGCGATGAAATCTCAGCACGGATCCGAAAAGCTCGAGCTGCTTTCGCTGACTTACACCATCTCTGGCGTAGGCGTGACATCCGGTTATCAACCAAGGGACGTGTGTACTGCTCATCAGTTCGCTCCGTCCTTCTCTATGGCTCTGAAACATGGCCAATACGCGTTGAAGACATGAAAAGGTTGACTGCTTTCGATCATAGATGTCTGCGATCTCTGTCTCACGTTAGGTGGTTTAATAAGGTAAGTAATGTTGACGTTAGGCGTAGAGTGTTGGGCAAAGAGGGAAAATCAATCGACGAGGCTATAAAGTTACATAGACTAAGATGGCTAGGTCACGTGCTGCGCATGCCTAACCACCGCCTCCCCCGACGGGCATTGCTAGCTGATATAGGTGCAGGTTGGAAAAGAGCCAGTGGTGGCCAAACAAAAACATGGCATCAATCCATGAAATCCTTGACAGTTAAACTGAGTCAGGTAGGGAGATGCAGACTCCCGGGTTGGGGCCCTCGGGACTCTAGGAATCAATGGCTGGAGACAATAGGTGACATGGCTCAAAATCGTTGTCAATGGCGCAGATGTATTCAGTCTCTGTAATCTTTCATATTCCTTTCTACCATTACCCATTCTGTTTCACTCTTATACTTGTCAAACTCTATTGATTCTCTTCACTCATCTTCTTGTCTACCTCTGTGTGCTATTTGGAACGTGGCAACTCGAACTGCTGCACTTCGGTGCCAAGTTCTATGTTGAATCCAGACAGACAGACCATTACAACCAAACATCGCCAGAGTACCTCTTGGTCGACAGAATCGAGTCGTGATAGTGTTGCTCAAAATATGGGAATCAATGTACACAGATAGCTAAAGATAACTGTTGGACTTCCAAATTTCTATTCGTCATGGTGTATTTTTCAAATGCTTTAGTGATAACGCATTATCACTATATTTTGTAGTTTTGCCAACTAATGATTTGAGAGCTGCTGTTTCGATTCTTGTCTTGACTTTTCACTTCGCCTTCAAGCATCACCAATTATATCTGTAAGATTATCTCATGTAGTCTTACCACCATTAAAATATCCTCTTGTCTCATACTTCTGTAAGTTTGTTTTACTGTTCGTGCACTGTTTTATGCAAGGGACTACTTTATTAGGTCTTGTATTCGCAACCCTTGACTAATGTATCTCTGTCCATTCTGACATGTATGGAAATAATGTTTTCTTGATGATTGGTTTGTCTGTTGAAAATCTGAAAAGTCTTTTAAGTTTCTTTTGATTTCGCATAAACAAACAATTAAGTATTCGGTGGCCTTGTGGTTAGGACGCTCGCCGACCGTGCACATGGTCCGGGGTTCGATCCCCGACCTGCGCACTCCTTTACCTCACTCAGCCAGAATTAAAGCTGGTGAAGAGGAAAGGTTGGGCATAAGGCTAGCAACCCCATGCTGTAAAAACAAACACTGTTACAGAAACTTCAAGTCTCTAGCTTGAAGCCCTATGTTCCACTGGGAACGTGAAGGGAAAAAAAGTACGGTGTGCTGTTACACAAACAATATTAACTATTTAAATTGATCTTTCTTCCTGTTGCAGATTCACACCATTAAGATGAAAATATTTTAAAAGTGTAGAATGAATTCTATTGTTTCTTATCGATACCGAGGTTCCACTGTCATTGGTGGTCAGGTTTATGCTTAAGTCTCCTAAATAATCTACTGGTCGCTTCACTTGTATACTCTTTGATTTGCATACTAATCAATGTTTTGCAATCCTTGCAGATTTTCACAGGGCACCAGCACACATTTGAAAAGAATCTGCTTCGGTGTTCATGGTCAGCAGATGGTCGTCGAATAACTGGTGGCAGTGGTGATCGTTATGTTCACGTTTGGGATGTAAATACGCGCCAATTGGTATATAAGCTGCCCGGTCATACAGCCTCTGTAAATGAAACTGCGTTCCACCCAACAGAACCGATACTTTTATCTGTTGGTAGTGATAAGAAAATCTTTCTGGGTGAAATTCTACCTTGTGTATACTCATAAGATATTTCTCTTGCAAAATTTCAAACTTTTTACTGTATAAAAATAACGATATTTTGTAAATGTTACGTATATATTTATTTGCTAAGTATATCTTCGTTCTGAAACAACACCAGTCAATTCTAAGATAAGTTTTCCCATCTTAAGTAACCGTAAATTTACGGAGTGTATGTAAAAAGGGCAGAGTATAGTTAGGCTGTTAAATATTGTTTCATTTTTGCTGACTCTAACACGTTTTTATGGGTTAACATCAATTGGTGTTTAGGTTAACTTGGGTTCGGGATTTGAATACTCAATACACCAAATTAGGAGTCTCGTCATCACAATATGCTTAAAATTGATGAACAATTGATAAGAATCTTTCGATTAGGATTTGTGTTTATAAGTGCTTGTTAACTTGATGAACTTAACGGGCAGTTTATCCAACGTTTACGATTAGATATGACAGAGATTGTCCTCCAATAAACAATGATTATACCCGAAGTAATGCTATTGGAAGTTAAACGTGACTGAAGTAGCTGGTTTGTAACGTCTGGGTGACGTAAGTACGTTATCTTTTCCCTATAGGTTGGAAATGCCATTCACTAAAGATTTAAAACAATTAGTCCCTTTTATAAATTTGGATAGCGTTATAAGAAGACGGAGATTATCTGAAAAATATGATGTATTTGCGCTATACACTTCGAACAATCTGATCACATATTTACTTGTCAATTCGATATATATATATATATATATATATATATATATATATATATATATATATATATGAAAATGTTAAATTAAACAAAGTGACAAAATAGGATTTAAGAATGATTAACAGAACGTTTGGTAATCCAATCAAATAAGGATTACCAAGGTAGGTTAAGAGTAATAATAAATTGTTTATGAATACCTATAGCCTCGGCGTATTTCAATTAGCGTCCTTGACCGTTTTTATAGAAGACCTTAAAGGCTGAGTTAACAGCAATCCTATGGTTCATCTCGATTAGGTGTTTAGCTATAGATGAAGTTGATAGTCTGACACCTGCATCTATTGGTTTTTCACAGTTCATTTTCGGGATATGCTCTCCCACCCTCATATGCAAAGCGCGATTGCTTTTTCCTATGTATGTGTAACCACACACACACACACGAACATTGGTAAATAGTGTGGGATATGACATAATCACTTGTACACTTTTGAGGTTTGCAGTGAAGCCTATTTTTAGCTTCTTCGACAATTACAAGCTGGGCTGCATAATAGATTCTATGGATGATCGAATTCAACGTGCGTCTCAAAATCCCCGTTATATGGTAATTTGATGAAAACCTTTTTCTTAGGGGTGGTATGGATTGTAGGTTTAGAGACTGTCTGTCTGTCTGTCTGTCTGTTTTCGACATAGAACTTTGCACAAATGTGCGGAAGTTCAAGTCGCCACACTCCGTGTAGCACGCGAAGCAAGAGAAGAAAGTACAAGAAAAGCATAATAGAAACAGTGAGCAGAGGTGTAAGACAAAGGAAGAGTAATAATGAAGAACAAAACAGTTTCATTGGAGATCATAAGTCACAAGGAGTGGATGCATCTGCGCCACTGAGAACGATTTTGAGCCATGTCACCAATTGTTTCCAACCATAGATTTTTACCGTCCCGAGGACCCCAGCCTGGAAGTCTACACCTTCCTACGTGGCTTAGACCAACTGTTGTGGATTTCATTGACTGGTGCCAAGTTTTTGTTTGACCGCCGCTAGCTTTTTTCCAGCCTGACCCTATATCCGCTAACATTGCTCGTCGAGGGAGGCGATGGCTTGGCATGCGTAACACATGTCCTAACCATCTCAGTCTTTGTAACTTCACGACTTCGTCGATTGATTTCCCCTGTTTATCTAGAACTCGACGCCTAACCTCAATGTTGCTCACCTTATTATGCCACTTTACACGGGAAATAGAGCGCAGGCACCTATGATCAAAGACAGCTAGTCTTTTCATGTCTTCCACTGTCAGTGGCCAGGTCTCACAACCATAAAGGAGGACGGAGCGGAATGATGAGCAATACACCCATCCTTTGGTCGATAGTCGAACATCTCGTCTACGCCAGAGACTAGTTGACTTCTACACCTGTTTAAAAATTTTAAATGATATCCGTTTTCAACAAGAGTATGCATCAATATTTCATTTTCTTTGTCTATAACTTCAGCCGTACAAATACGTTGGATCCTCTTAAATAGACATTTCACCAAGCCTCTCTTATGCTGTAATGGGCAGGAACTGTGAAAATTAAGGCACTGCCCTGTCCAAGTGGGCTTTCTGTAGATTGATCGTCTTATTGAAGCATCATCTCTTCGACTCAAAAGTATGTCTAAAAATGCAAGCTGGTTGCGACTTTCTTCCTCGCATGTAAGACCAATATGATTCTGCACAGAGTTAAGTCTGTCTAATAGACGACTTGCATCTTCATGATCGTCGCATATCAAAATGATATCATATACATATCTCCTATATAAGGGCAATTTAGAAATTAAATCAAGAGACAAGTTCTCAACATAAGACATGTAAATGTCCGCTAACAAAGGTCCTAATGGACTCCCCATAGCAACACCATCCACTTGTCGAAAATGTTTACCTTCAAACGTGAAATGGACGTTGTCAGTACATAAAAGTAATAAATCTTTCAAATAAGTTAAAGGAAATGAAAAACAACTAGAAGATATATAGTCACAAAGAATATCAACAGTTTTAACCAATGGTACATTAGTAAACAAAGAATTAACATCAAATGAATACATTTTCCTATCTTTTATGTTATGTTCATATCTACAAGACAGTCAACAAGTTCAAATGTATCTTTCAAAGTAAACTTACATAATTCAATGCGTACTGGACTTAAAATATCAGCTAATCATTTTGCTAATTTATGCGTAGGAGAGTGACACATTGATAGAATTGGACGTAATGGATTATCAACCTTATGAATCTTGGGTAGTCTATAGAGGTTTGAAAAGTCAGATTCTATGGGTTTCAAGGAATTAAACTCCTGTTTATCGATAACGTCCATACCACGAAGTTTTACTAAGTGAGAAGTTACTTTTCCTTCCAATTTTTTGATATCACCAGAAAGAACATCGGCTATGAATTTACTTTTGTCATTAAGGATGGATAACATTTTTGTTTAGTAATCACTTCTGTCCATTACAACTACACCAGACCCTTTTTCAGGTTTCAAAATAACTAAATCGGATCTGTTACGTAATTCCTTTAGGGCTTTAATATGAGTTGATGTTAAAATGCTTCTTTGTTTCCGACTTGAATCACTAAAGATTACCAATAAGCGCGATACCAAGGCTCACGGTTTCCGCTTGACGATGATTATTCATTTAATTGTTAGTGTTTTGTTCACACAAATTGTCTGTGGATTATATATGTATGAATGCGGTTGGATGTATTGTAATAAGATGTACGTCAAAATCCATATTCCTTTGGGGACTTTAACCTATAATTATGTTTAAACCAAAAGATTCGTGTCATCAAGAATCTATTCACTGGTTTCTACGAAATAAAAACTTTATCTTTAATTGATTTAGCTTAGGTATTGCAAAATTCGATCGATAGTTTTGGAGTCTGGCAAGTGAACCAAGTTATTTTGACTAACTTAGTTGTAATTATTTTTGAACTGACTATCAGTTCACAATCTTTTCAAGAATTACAATCCGACCTGGTGTTCGAAAACGCTGGATTTTAAACACTGAGAATGCTAAAAGTCTTCCTAATACGATGATTACGAATATTCCAGTGTTACTGACTAGGAGGAAAGTATAGCTTCATTCAGATCCAATTGTTCATAAAATTGTTGAGTCAGTCCTGCTAAACAGAATAGTTTATACGGAATACCTTGGTAAACGGTGGGAAGTGTAGTTTGGGTAAGCTGGAACTAATTTTACTCATTTTGAGATGAATAAAACAAGTAATTAACATCTGTGGTAGTGGTTGATCATATTTAATCCTTCTCTGTTACTGTTAATTAGCAGAAGAATCATGATGTGGAAGACTTAAGCGGGCTACTAGAGCGTTAGTTTTCATGACTGAGAACTAGTTCACAAGCCCAGAAAAAGACATGATTGGGCATGGGTCTAAGCAACCTAATCGCTGCAAAGACTTCAAAGCACATGAAATGGATAAGAAAAATAAAAACAAAACCTATTCTTTCCTGATATTGGAGAGACTTAAAGACACCACCTACTGAAGGCCTTCAGGAGGCTAGTCAGCCGATGTGTCTTCTTACGATAAAAGGAAAAGTAGGCATAGAGACATGGAATGTTTACGCGATGTTTGAAGCCAAAGAGGCTGATCAAATTGCGGAATAAGTTAGAAATTATACTATCGAAGTGTTAGGAATCTGTCAGTGCAGGTGAAATGGACTATGTGGACTATGCTATTTGTTAACTAGAGAGGGAAAAATCTACTCCGGTCACCCAGATGACAACCGTGTGTATATTGAGGAAGTGACTGTCATGATGTCACCACCTACATCCAAAGTCCCTTTGTAGTGGATCCCAGCCTCCTCCAGGACAACGACAGCAAGAATTAGTTCAAAATGCAGGAAAGTTACAACTATGGAATACTACGCGTCTAAAATCGAGGTAGATCAAGACACAAGGGAGAATTTCTACAGACAACTGCAAACTGTAAATGACAAGACACAACTACAGATAGCATTGGAGATGATTTCGAAGGAGGCGAGAATCAGAAAGATACCGTGAAATCGGTTTAGAAATCTTAGCTCAGAATAGGGGGTAACATCCTGATTGTCAACTCTAATGCTTCTATGTGATTCAGAAACTTGTGTCATCATCTACAAGCATTCTTAACAGGTCCCTGAGTCTTTCGTCAGCAACTGTCTTGCCTTTATATTGAGGATCAGATAGCCAGAAAGCGTTAGCAATGAGTAACATCGGGGATGAACTGACTAAGACCCTATAGCCCAGTAGATATGCCGAAGCAAATAGAGATGAATTCAACACATGTTCAGGAGACCGTTGAGTGACATCACGCTTGAGGCCCTCGAATGGGAAACGGTGAGTTAGGCCTATGAGGATAACATGGAAGAGATATT